CCAGAACCAAAGGAGAATGTGGCCAGGCATGGGGCAGCATTTGTACTGAAGCTGCTGTTCCTGCATCTCTTTCCATTCCCCTGTCTCCTAAAACCACACTACTCTTCCCTTTTAGGCCACCCTAAGCTCTTAAGTGCAAGCACATTGGGTTTTCCTCACATAAGATGAAAGTGTGAAGATTAAAAAAAAAAAAAAAAAAAAAAAAACCAAAAAAAAACAATGTGGAGTCAGAGTCTTTGCAGGGCCATCTCTGCTCCTTCCTGTTAGTCCTCTGAGGTCAGCTCAGTGTCCTGAGTGAGCTCTGTCCCCTTCATCTGTTATCCCAATGCCAGCACAGTCAACCCAGGCATGGTGGTATATACCTATTACCCCCAGCACCTGGATCTTGGAAAGCAGAGGCAGGGGCATTACTATGAGGCTTGTTTTCTATAGTTCCAGACCAGAACATAGCAAGACCCTGTCTCAGAAATCTCCAAATAGCAACAACAGCAATAAAATGCAGCTTCAAGGAAATGTGAGGCCAATGTTTTTTTTACTGCCTGAGAGACTGTAGACATAGCCTACCATGTGCTCTTTGAGGGACAATGCAGCATTCAAGCATGTCTCCTCAAACTTCTAGACATTCCTCAGGACTGCTGGAGAAAGAAGGGCTTCAGGCTGCAAAAGGAGGCCCAGCACGGATTAATTAGAGGCGAGTTTTCAATCATTCCAAAGCCAAGTCCTCACACCAGCTTTAGCCCCTCCGTTCGACTGTGGCATCAAGTCTAGCAGGAGTGTCAAGCCTCACACGTCTTGTATAGCCTGGCATCCTTAGGCACAAAGTAGAAATTCTATTTCATTTGACTATTGATGAGGCTTCATGAATTTCTACTTGAAACACGAATCTTAACTCGTGTCATGAATTTCTGCTTGAGACTTTCCTTTTAAAAGACCCACAAGTGTCTGGCTCTGGCTTAGCCCAGACAATGAGAAAAACGTAGATCCAGAAGGTGGCTGCTATCGCTGCAAACTGAAGTTGATTTCACGGCACTGTCTAGGAAGGAACTAAATTCTCCCAGAGAAATGCCCCAGTCCATGCAAGTGTGGGCGAATCTTCAAAAGAATAGGAGACACTGCACACAGAAAGGGCCATGTCTAGTGTTCAGAAAATGGCCCTGACTGGAAGTATGACTGATCTTTGATTTTTTTTTCATGCATTTTCTGTCTAGTTGTGCTAGCTCCTGCAGTTGTCACTAGCCACAGGTGGCCACTTAAGGTGAAACTATTTCCACAGTGAAGTTTTATAATTCAGTCCCAGTAAGCATAGCTGCGGTAGCCAGCACATGCCTCCCGCCATATTGGACTAGAGAGATACAGGACTCTCCACCATCATAGGAAGTTCTGCCAGACAGCACCACTCTGGGAGAGGAATCACATATCAACAGAGTAGTTTATCATCCTGGCTCGGCTGCCCCCTCCCTCTTGTGCAGTTCCCAAACAGAGACTTTCTTGACTCTCTCCTCAGAAGTAGAAAGTAGCCATCCCCTCTCAGCTAAAGGTGGTGCCAAGCAGAAGCTGCTAATATAATGAGAATTAGTCCTCATTAGCATGTGCCCTGCTTGTTAAGCCATGCCCTGGGATGGTAGCATGCATTCGGGTGCCTGCAGTCAGTAGGTATCCTTAATACTGCCCACCTGAGCGCAGTTACAAATCACTTAAGCTAATCCATTCCTCCTGGGCCCTCTAAATGGATAATCGAATTGATTCTTTTGCAGCCGTGGGCTAGGTCCCAGTTTAGCTCTAAAAGCCTTGTGCCCTTCCATGTGCACCCTCCTGCCCACCTCAGACAACAAGGACCACGCATCCGTTAGCCAGCATTGTATCTCCAGCACCTGCCTAGGTCCTGGCAGGTGGGAAACACACCAGCAATGTTTGTGGAAGGCATTAATTAACCCATTACCTAATCAATCAAGATGCCTTTGGTTCTCCCAGTAGGACTCTCACTGATTATTCCTGAAGAGAATTCATTCCCCAGCACAGCAATTTGAAAAGCCAGCTGCAATCAGAGCCATGGAGGACCTGTGGAAACCTGGCACGTCCCCTCCCCCCACCCTGCCCCCCCAAACACTCTTCTCCAGCAGAATCCCAGATCAGAGGCCTGGGCTCAGGTCTCAGAGTTCTGTAAACAACACCCCATGGGACTGTGTTATGCAGCCCAAGATTATATACTGTAAACCATGCCAAGCTCCCGGCATGTCAGCCATAAATATGATTACCTCATATTTGATATTTGTATCCCACATCCTATCTCATCCACAGTCATTTTTACTGCAAGAGAGCCATCATTCTGATCTCCCTTCCCCCATTCCTCAGCGGTGGAGCCATCATTTCCTTACAATGGGAAAGGAGAGTCCCTGCAGGAACTTTACTTCAGTGTCTTTATGAAGAACTGTACTGAAACAGTGTGGGAGAATGCAGTCCCTTAAATCTCTTCTCAGAGTGCCAAGGCCCTGGTATATTTCTCACTGTTGAGTATTTAAAAGCAAAATACAAAGCAAACAGGAAAAATATACCAGAAGAAAAGTCAAAAATTGAAGATAATTGCTAAGCCAAGCTGAAACGGCTGCATTAAGTGTGGGTAAAGTAAGTGCTGGCTGTGTGAGAGGCCCCAAAGGATGGAATCCAGACCCTAGACATGAGTCTCAGCTAGGAAAGGGGGCACTGGATAGAAATGCCTCTCCACTGGCCAGATGGAGTACACTGTCACCTAAGGTCACACCAGACAGGAGGAACGAGCCTGGAGCATTGACCAAGCCAGAGTCTGGCAGCAGGAGACCAAAGGTATGAGAGATATCACTGGGAGGAAGATGGTCTGATGAAACTGCCTAGGAACACAGCCAGGAGGAGGAAATGGAGTCAAGAAAGACTAAACCTCCTTTATTCTAGCTCCAAACATCTTACAACACTAGTTTCCTCACATTGAAAAACATTTGTGGATATGTTGTTAGAATGAGCCGAGAGATGGGGTAAGATACCAAATAATGGCTGTTATTTATTGAGCATCTACATTATCCCTAATACCAAACAAGGGTATATGTACATCTCAGTAAGACTCAGAGAATAGCTCCATACCCCTACCTAAACCCTGAGAAAAGTGGGACCCCTTGACTTCCAGAGTCATGTGACCAAGAGGTGGCATGACCAGTGTGACTCCTAGGAGACGCATTTGTCCAGATTCCTAGAGCTTCTTCTGAAAGTGCAGAAATCACCCATCACACCTCACCTCTGCAACTCCCCAGAGGCCACGTCTTCTGTCACCAGGAAGGTGACAGGCACACGCTGATGCTTGGGGTCCTCCTGCATTTTCATTATGTGGGACATGGTGAGGCTTTTATGAGACTCCACCACAGGCTGTTTTTCAAATTTATTTAATTCATCCATCATGTTCTGAAGCCATTTGCTTTTTTATATTGGACAGATGTAATGAGATTTTGGACACTAAAAAATGTTTTTATTAAAAGTTATGACCCAGAGCTAGTTGGTAGGGGCCCTGCTATAAATCCCCAGGAGTATGTGAATTTATTAGGGATGTAGCAACATAACCTTAACCTTCCAGGCCACGCCATAGATTACATGATCTCCTAGGCTATTGCTGTCTGCCCACAGCCCCACACCTGTGGCTAAATAGCAATAGCAGTAATTATCAATGCTAATAGTACTGGAAGCAGTAGTATTCCTGTAGTTATTACACATGGTGACTTTTCATCTCATCATTGCCTCTGGTGAGTCCTGGTGAGGTAGACCCTTGCGGAGACTGGTGGCAGGATTTACTGATGGCTGTTCTAAATGACAGGGATCCTGGGCACATTGATTCTCCTGCCCCTCACCACATCCTGTGGCTAGGGATGAGGGAAATAGCAGTTACAATTTCTGTGGACAGAGTGAAGGTACCTTTGGCATCTGAACGGTAATTTAAGATTGGGCAAAGGTATGCTTATTCCTCTACTGCCAGCACCAAGCCCCAGTCCAAATTAGGAAGCAATGTCCTCTCTCTGCTCTTCCGTAGTGACTCAATTTGAATGCCAGTAGACACAGATGTTATTAGAACTGAGGTACTTGGAAATTTTCCAAAGAATAATTAGCTTGTATGTATAGACCAAAACAAGGTTATTAAAATATGCATGTGTGATAGATATTATACATTTTGTATAAGTCATGGTATATTCAGTAGAATTAAAAGTTAAGAGAACAGTTGGTTTTGGCCGGCTGCCAGCCACTCGGTGAGATGAGGATTCATCCATTTCTGTTAGGCAGTGCTATGTATTAGCCCCTTGGGAGTTGCTATGCAGTGGAGGATAAAGTGCACACATGAGAGAACTTGCTATAGAACAGGTGCAGCTGAGGTGCTGGGGGCCCTAAGAGGAAGAAGTTTCATAGCAGAGGTGGCATGCAGCTGGGCTTGGGAAAGCAATGGAACACTGAGATTACTAGGATAAGAAGAAACCGGAGAGCAAAGAGAACGGCTGGCCCAAAAGGTGGGCAAAAATGGTTGATGGTGATGAGCGAGAGTGTGTGTGTGTATACAAATAGGAAAATGGAATAAGGGAACCTGTTATTTTATATACCATTAGTAACTAAAAGAATTATCAACGAAAATAGTGGCGTTTGGCTAAAATCGCATGATGTCACATCTTCATTTTCAAAGAATACCATTCAGGGTAGACACTTTGGCTCTTACTGTAGACACTGCTGCGCCTAGCTGAGTGGTGTGCATCCCTGCAGGAAGATGGACTTTAGACTCACAGACAGGCTGCCGCTGTATCGCCCAATCAGGCCCATGCTTTATCATCCACTTAATGCTGAAAACAAATCCCAGGGTTTTCACCATACATCAGAATCTGCTCCCGCCTACTGAGACCATGGGAGTGTAAACCATAGCTACCGTCATCATTAAACTCATAAATCCACGTCATTTGTGTGTCATTCACTCCATCCTCATTCATCATCCCTTGCGCTTGCAGAACAGCCAGCCATTGGAGGATTTTGAAGAGCGTTTTGCCGCAGCCATGCCGGTAAGAGTGAGAGGGCCCTGTCTGTTTAACTGTTTCATGTTGTCAGACCATCACTCATTTCATGCTCATCCATCATGCCTTGTGGTTGCAGAACAGAGACCCGTCAGTGGACTTTGATGAGCTCCTTGAGGCAACCAAGGTAAGACCTCCAGGGTCCTGTTAAATTAGAGTTCTTCTGGTTATCCTCATGTGTCCCATGATGCCCTGATCCAGCTGCATAAATCACATTTGTTCTACTCTGTGCTCCTCCAGTAAGTACGCATTGCAAATGTTCAGAGGAAAAAAGAAAGGTGCCATGAGGTGAGTGTTTGTACAGTGTGTGTGTGTGTGTACACGTGCTAAGGAGTATTAGAAAGGCGATAACACCCCTTAGTTGCACTCAGCTAGTATTTTAGAGGCCACCTAACACATACCAGATATTCTGGAAAAATGCAAAATCTTTTTGTCCTGATAGAAAGATGAGAAGGCCGTGGGGGAAAGGCATGAGCTCATGCAGGGACCCTAAGATGGATCTCCTTTCAAATCATCTGTACTCTGCCCTCCTAAGAACTGTGAGGACTGACTGTATTGGTCTGTCTTCCATAAAGCATCCAGCTCCCGAAAACAGGAGCTAGAGCATGCTGTCCTCGGGTCTGTGTCCCTGCCCTTGGCATGGTAGCCAACGTATGACAGGGATTCCTACACATTTCCTGGAAGGTTCTGGGATCTTCTGTTGCCAAAACATAATGATTGTCGACCCATGGGGTCTTGTTTTTCCTCAGTTGTGTCAAAAAAAAAAAAAAAACCCTCAGAGGGGTTCGCCACAGTCACGTTGGAAGAGGAGCCAGGGGACTAATCTTGAGGCAGTTGTACAGTGTTCCGTATGCCTGGGAAACCTTCACCTGCTCATCATTTGCGCTCCTTCCTCCCAGCTGATCGAAGGGAAGGGTCACCCACCTCAGCCTCAGTGAAGGCATCTCTGAAGTGCGGACTGTGATGACAGAGCTCACTTTCCTGGGCTCTGCCAGTGTCAGAGTGATGATAATGTATGAGAATGCTTATTGTAAGCTGTAAAGTGTTTTACAAATGTGAACTCTTAGCTTTATTCTCTTGAGGCCTTTAAAATGATGGATGAGGACAGTATTTTCAGATGGAACATGGTTTATTAGGTTACAAATAAGCAGCTGGGGTCCACATGGGGGAGGGCTGTGAAAATAGATACTATTCCTGATTCTCAATCATACTTGGTTATTCAGATTATTTTTAATTTTATGGCCAACAAACCCCCTTTTTCTATAAAATTTAATTAACTCAGGGTTCTATTTAAACAGCAAATCCAATGAAACGAAATAACAGCCTATGTTTTATGCCTCCCCGTGTTTTTCTCGTTTAATCCTTGAGTGAAAATCATTTGGCAAGAGGAAGGACTATATCTCAAGAAAGAGGGTTATTTTAAAAGTTGTACTTAAGGAGAAAATTAGCCAATAAATTATCTTTACGATGTTAGTAAAAGTATGCCACGAGTTCAACACATTTGAGATGTAAATTGTGTGACTTAATTATTAACTTCATTTTAATATTTTCTCAAGGCTGAAAATAGTCCTGAGCCATTTTATAAGCATGGAGATCCAGGAAGCCCGGAAGCTCTTCAGTTGAACTCATTAAGCGGAGTTAGTCTTTTATGCAACAGGAGAGGGAGCAAAGGGTAGGCTTCAGTTGAGGTGATGCTGGCATGCCAAAGAAGGCTTGCAGAGGGAAACAGGAGTGTCCAGATTTAGGAGCAGACACTCTATGCCCACTGCCATGTGCACATCCGCTGACAGGATGTCACTGTGTGAGAGGGGAGCTGTTAGGGGAGTCAGTTGGAGAAGATTGTGACACGCACACAAGTGTCTGTGCAGCCTTGGCCAGTCCCCTTGCCCATCTCCTCTCCCAGGAGAGGTTCACCACACATCTTCTGTCCTCCTCCACTGCTCTTCCTGGCTCCTGCAGTTTCATATGTCTTCAGGATCCTTCCTCTTCTTTGTCACCAGGCTAACTGTACCTCTACTTCAGGATTTTGGAGACAAGCTGTTTCCTTGGGAAAACTCCAAGTTCTCTGCCCCTAGCTGACTGGGCTCTAGTTGGTCACTCTTTCTGTCCTGTTACTTTGAAGGGCTCTGCATCTGTGGGCTACCATCTCCCAACAGACCATCCACTGCCTGCAGTTGTTGAGACTTGGCAGCTCTCCTTCCTATGCCCCTAGCACCGAGTGCAGCACCTTAGGCTTCTTCAAGGTTTGCAGGAAGGATGACTTGTACTTGGAAAGAAATGAAACATCCCTGTGTGAAGAAACAAACTTTGGTGCCTACCAGGCACTGTTCAGTGTTCAATAGGAGAGCCCAGGGGAAGGAATGAAAGTAGAACTCACACAGCTGAGCTTCATTCTTATCTAGTAGAGTCTTCTGTGCCAGCCAGCCAGGCTTAGCAAAGTACAACAACAAATAGGCTCTACTATTATGAACACCACCCCTTGTCAGAAATGCTTGGGACCAAACGTGGTTTGGATTTTGAAGTTGGAACATACTCAGAATGACATACCTTAGGGGTGGAACCAGAGTCCAAATACAAAATTCCTTTCTGCCTCATATATACCTCTACTCATCCTTGCATATAACTTCACACTGTTATATGTGTGTGTTCAGCATCCTAGCATCTTTTTTTTTTTATCATGCTGCTTAAGGGGTTGGGTATGGAATATTCTACCTGTGGCATCATACCCACACTCAAAATGGTTGGAATATCTGAAGTTTAGAGTTTTCAGAGTAGGGATGATAAATGTATAACATATAAAGAGATATCATTAACTCCATCATCCAGCTGGGTACGTGACACTTGGGGGATGCTTCCGAGGTTGAAATGGGTAGACTCAACATACCTACGCAGCTGTGGGGTGTTCTCCTGTACCCAGTGATGGCTAACACATTGGGAGGAATGATCATTCCCTTTTGGGTATGAATCATAGAGCTTCAACTATGACCAAGCTAGAGCTGAACGTCTGCATGGGACCAGAGTAGCAGGGCAGCCGGCCTCTTCCTGTGCCTTCTGTTAACTGGTTTTTGCTGTCGTCTGCATTAGGAGCCCTCACTTAAGGTGTGAAGATGAGTGGGAAATAGTTTTTGTTCAGTAGACAGGTTCACACAAAGTGTGTGATTATACGCTTTGCATAATTAAGGCAGGACATTTGGTTCCTGTCCAACGAATCCCCATGATCCCTGACGCGAAAGTGTATGCAGATTAATTTCTAAGTGTATTTTAAAAGGCTTCTTCTGCTCTTCTGCCCAGGCTTTTTCACAAGCATGCTAGATGGGAGGATTGATGGAGCAGTGTCTGTAGGGATGGAGTTCCTGGGAGTGATTGATAGTGTGTATACTGGGCTGGTTTTGATGCTCTTCCTGGTATTAAATGAAATGTTGTTGTTTTTTTTTTTTTTCCCATCCAACCACATTTTTTATCCCAAAGACAGACTTCCAGGAGATACACATTTGATTGTGTGCTCTCAGTCTAGAAAATACACATCCTGACCTGGATGACCTAGATGTCACCTCTATGTGAATCAATTTCTTCCCTACCCCACCCCACCCCACCCCACCCCACCTCACCCCTCCTTAAAAAAAATGGGAATAAGGGCGTTTACCTCTCAGGGCTAGAGCTGTTGGGAGCATTAATTGAGAAGGGACCTCATAGTCATCCCTTGCTAAAGGATGGACCTCAAAGCCATCCTTTGCCATTCTTTGGATGGGTAGTTCCATCTTGAGAGAAGCCATTCATAGGATTGCAGTTCTATGGCTCTTGGGTGAGTTTGATGTACATGAGGATAAAGTACTGTTCATGATACCTATGGCTAATGGGTAACATTTATGAAGCCTGGATAAACAGCTAGACACAGAGTAGTAGATTGATTCTGACTATATCCAAAAATGCTGCCTTGGAACCATGAAGGGTAGTAGGGAGTGACAGGCCTAACCACTTTTGTAAAGGAGAAAAAGGGTGACTATTCTCACTGTATAACATTTTACCCTCCTGCTTATATGATTCTCTTTGTGTCTTTTCAGGCTGTGACCCAATTAGAACTTTTTGGAGACATGTCCACCCCTCCCGATATAGCCTCTCCCCCTGTAAGTATGCACTGCCCTCTGAGCCCTTGCTACCTGGCCCTTCTTTCCCCAGCCACACAGTGACACAGTCTAGTAAGCCTTGAGGAGTGAGCCTGGCTGGTAAGTTTCAACTCCAGCTCTTTCAAGTTGTGTTATTTGGGTATTTCAGCTAATATTCCTAAACCCTGGGCTCTTCTGCTGTGGAGGAGGAGTTAGGATAAATGTCTCTGGTTTGAGGAATAAATGAGACCATGTGTACAGCAAACCCAGGACATTGTTTGTGGTTTGCTCTTAAGGCTCATAAGAAGGGAGACAGGAAGGATATGTAGTTTGAGCTTACCAAGAGTGGAAACCTGAGCAGGGAAGATGGACAAGAAACTCAACAGGACAGGAAGCAAAAGCAGATGTGTGTCAGCATGGATCTGGTCCCTTACATACAAGGGGGTAACTAGGGGAAGAAAGCCCCTCATCTCCCATCCTCCCTTTCCCTCCCTCTTTTCTTTCTGTCCTCCCACTTCACTGTTCGCTGCCCTCTGACTTGCCTTTGAGCCTTAGAAACCATGACCTGTGCCTCCCTGAGCCACTCAATAAAGCTCCAAGTTCACAGCCACAGTTCAGTAGGAGCATCTGGGGCACTGCTTACACTCGAGGGTTGAGATTGTGTGGGGCCTTCTGTGGAAAGCACAAATTAGAAGAGAAGATTAAAGGAAAGAAAGAAAATCGAATTAAAGGCAAGGCAAAATAGAACCTTAGTGCTAGACACTTTGATGAGCCACTGTTAGCTACTGCAATGCAAGCATGCCCTCTTTAGCCCCTCCCCTGCCTCCTCCCCAGAAATATAGAGTTAGAGCAGTCAGCTGCAGCTGCACCAACTGAAGATGCTGGGAAAGGACCGATCCTCCAAGCACCACACAGTTGCACAAACAGAGGCATAGTGCTATGGTTCATTGGCAAGTTGGACCTCACAGAGAAAGGGCTGTGATCCCCCCCCCACCAAGGACAGATGGCCTGAGACACTGCAGCCCACAGCTGCTACTGGGGAACCCGGGCACAGCTACCCTGCTCCCAATACCTGATTTCTGTTCCAACCTTTTCTTGTTTCCAAAGAAGCCAGCCCACTCTCATGAGCCTTTCCCTCCTACAGCGCCCTCAGGGAACAGCTGGGGTGGAAAACAGGCAAGAGTGGGCCCTAGGGTCTCTTCCTTCCTTACCCCCTGCATTGGACAGATGAGCAAACTGAGACACAGGGAGGGCATGTGACTCCTTCCAGGCCATGTGGGGGAAAGAGAGCAGCTCTGACTATGTGCAAAAATGCTTAACGCAGCAGCTCAGGGCTGTGTTTCTGGCCCTGAACCCAAACGCAATCCAAATGGATGTTTAGTAATCCTCAGAACAATGCCATTCGTCCCGGAAGCTGACGGTCTAAAAATGGCCCTGTCTAATTGCCATGGTTTCAGAATTAATTGCTTGCCCCAGTCTGTTCCAACAGAGGAGGCGGGGACCAAAAAGGATGTTATGGCATCACACACACTTACACTCTGTAGGCAAAAGCCTACAGTTCACAGGAGTGAATGTTCTTTTTGGTAACTCCCACTTTACCCAGCTGTTCATTCAGCTGACCTTTCTGGAGCTGCAGCTGGGGCCAAGTTAGTACTAGAAGTTCCTAGATATGCTGCTGTGGTCTGGTTGTCCTCTTGAAGATATCTCCTTCTCTTTTACAAGGAGGAGGGTCAATCAAGAGTCTGGAAGGCTCCTGGACACACAGAGCTTCACTCCATCCACTCATCAAGCTTTCTTTGTTTATTTAGCCAACTGTTTACTGACCACCTAATAAATGACAAGCTTTAAACCAAGAATACAGTAGGGTTCAAGTGGGTATATTGCATGTGGAATTGACCGCTTGCAAGTGGTGAAAGCCGTATATTATAGAATAAGTTGGTGGCCTGAAAACCACCAGTGGTAGGGGCTCAAATAATTAATTAAACATACTGCCCCTGTGTGCGCTGAGCATTGGCTCTATGTCCATGCACAGTGCTTAAGAAAAACTTCGTAAAGCTGATCAGTTAGATGCATGGTTTCATTTAGTCCTCACAGCCGCTCTGGGGTTGGGCTGGGGGTAGGAGTAGAGAATGGTTCTTTCACCAACCCCACAGCCTGTGAAGCACATAAGTGACTTGGACTGTGTCTAGTTTTGGCAGCACACATCTCACTCTTGCTTCCCCCATCTATGTGGGCCACTGAGCAGGTCTCACGCGTCTGTTCCCCTGCCCCTCTCTGTCTGGCAGACTCCTGCAACCCCAGGTGATGCCTTTCTCCCGTCGTCATCCCAGACGCTTCCGGGGAGTGCAGATGTGTTTGGCTCTGTGTCTTTTGGCACTGCTGCTGTACCCTCAGGTAAGTCCCTCCCACTGCTTCCTGGGGACCTCACTCAGACAGCTAACTGAACCAGGACCAAACACCAGGACCAAACCTGTCCTGTCCTGTGACTCATCAAGAAACAGGAGGCAGCCATGTTGGTGGGCAGGTGGAGGTCAAACACAAAGCCAGGGTGCTGATGCCAGGAACTCGGTGATGGCCTCCGCCTGGAAAATCCCAGGCTCAAGGTTGTTTGACAAACATGGCATTGTACACACTGCGGTGCGAATCGTCCATTTCCTACCAATCGTGTAGGCCAGAGGCAGGGAAGATGATGGGAAGGAGAGAGCAGGCATACCTCTTATTTCCCAATGGATAAAGGGACTGCCTCCCTGGGCTCAACGGATAGAGAGATTCCCCACCCACAGAGGGAAGAGTGTAGGACAAGAACAAGCTGCTAGTGGTGAACTGAGAAGAGAATGTAACATTCAGAGGTTTAGAAAGTATCTCTTTATTTTTCCAAGTATCCTTTGAAACAGTAGACTCTATTTACAGCAGGGTGAACATAGGCATGGTCGCAATACTGCAGGGAAGTTACAAACTGGTGGCATCCCAAGGGTCATGCTTTGCTTTCGTGGTATCTGCTGCTCCAGGTGGCCAGGCCGCTCCAGGTAGCCAGGCCACTCCACTTAGAAATGGCCACCGGTAGGTGCGTTTAGTTCTTTCAGTTATCTGGAAACCTGGAATAGTGTTTCATTTCCCTCTACCTGTGTGCTTTGAGTTGGAGACTCACTATTTCTTACTTGGCTTTATGCTTATAAACAGCAAATGATAGCTTGAATATTTTAGAATACAAATCTGCTTGTGCTTTTTTATGCAAATAATTACTTTTAATTATATAGTGTTAGAAGCAAATTCTCGCTACTAAATATAAACCTTGCTTTTATTGTATATAAATTAAAAATTCATACCCTGTTCTGGGGTGCAGCTCCTTTCCTTGAGTCTAAGGATCATTACAAACTTTTAGAAGCAATATAGTTGGTAGTGGCTGCCCTTGACTTATGGCTTAAAATCTACAGGCATCCTGGAAATGTATTCATTTCCAAGCTCCCCAGTTGAATTGTTTGCGTCATCTCTGAAATGGGATGGTGGGGATGACTTATTTTCTGAGTATAAAATGGACATTAAAATCTTGGGAACAGTAATATAGAATGTGTCATTGAAAAATATAAATAAAAATGTTTATTAGGAATGCACCTGAGCTTGAGCCTTGTCTTCACATAGCCATGCTTGGCCCCACTGCTTTGTCTATAAAGACGAATTCTCACAATGATAGACCCCATAATTACTAATCCTCAGACATGCTCACTCTACAAGTATTCACTGGGTGCCCACTGTATGCTAGTTGAGGATCTGTAGTCTCTTAGTACTTAACCAGCTACGTGTCAACCTACCTATCTTTGCGATGCTATCTCTTTGGATTATTGAAAAATATGATCAGTTTTCAGGGGATAAGTCTAAGATTAATGCATTAGCATTTTTTTTTTGTTTTCTGTCTTTGCATAAAATATTCTTGAGGTACTCCTCTGATGATGATAATCTGAGCCTTTCTCTCTTCAGCTGGTTTAACATGTTGCCGGCTGCTGTGCCTCTCTCTGCCTTACACAAATTTATCTGGCTAGCAGTCAGGAAACAATGTCAAAATGTAACCCATGTCACACAGAGCGTAGCTGACCACTGAGGACTTCCAAACCTCCAGGTCATTCTGACTTAGTTCCTTGTTGGTGAGCTTCAGATGTGGGGGCTGATAATCTGTCAGAGGCAAAATTTCATCTTTATTAACTAGACTGAAAAAACAAAAACAAAAAACAAAAAACCTTGTGTCAATATCATGAGAACTAAATGAGATAATTAAGCACCCCTGAAAATGCTGGTGCATTGTAGATACTCAGTGTGGAGAAGGCTGTTAGTATCTTGTTATTCTAGCTCTGATTATGAAAGTCAGAGGACATATGCCCTATCTTTTTTCCCCCACTTTATTGTCTTGAGACTTTATAAAGTGCAGATAGTAGAGCTTAAGTCTTCAGTCTTTGGGCTGCTCGTGGCAGAGGTAGCCTGGGTGGCCTGGAGAACGCAGGCTCTGCTATCAACCAGCTGCATGCAGATGGCCCAGCCTGACCTCCGCTGAGCCTAGGCACTTACCGATAAAGTGAGAGGTGGTGAAGTGACCTCCCAGAGCTCTTCTGAGAGCCTCGCGAGCCGTTTCTTACAGAAGACCCTCAGTAATTCTGCCCACAGGTATGTTCTAAGGAGGGACTTTACGGATGGTTGTTGCTTGTCATCCAGGGTCCTTGCTTCGCTGCATATGTAACTGACTAGTGCAAGCTGTGCCCTCATGGAAAGAGAACTTTTATGCATGCAGGTTAAACAGATAGTGGTAATAGCTACCCCAGAGGCTTACTACAAAGGTCGACTCCCCGAACAGAAAAAGGAGGGCGATTGTTGCTTTGCTCTTCTCTGCAGTTCTAGAGACTGAATCAGAGCCAAGCATCCAGCACGGATATTTTTGGATGGATGAAGGAGTCAAATGAGGCAATGGAGCTGGGAGGTGTCATACAAGTTCTATGCAAATACAGACCCTTTGTTCTCAGTGTGTTCCTTGTAGTTTAGTCTGGTTTCGTTTTTCTTTCCTCGAGCATAGGTATGGCTGTCTCCAGAGCTGGCATCTTATTATAAATTGCAATATCTAAGACACACACACACCCCCTCTAACTGCAAGGTGGGAATGAGAGTGTTCCCTTTTTGCAAACCACAAAGAGGTTTGTAATACCTGAACTTTTGTGTCACAGACAGATGTTCATTGGCACCTTATCCCTCCGTTGCTACACACATTAACAAGTCTCCAGCTAACAGGTTGTTAGGTAGCTTCAGTGGCTGCCGTGAAGCTGCTCCCTGAGACCAACGCTGCCTTAGTCCTCATGCTGAGATGTCCCTTCAGGCATGCTTGTGGCCTGTGACTAGAGAGCAGTAGCTCCCAGGCCTGGGGAGAGCTCATGCTGCCCAGCCTCCCCTCCTCCAACCAGGAAAATTGAACGAGATCTGTAAACTCCTCAACATGATACCAATTACCCAGTGCTGTCTTTTTCTCTTCTGAATATTATACTTTGGTCTGGAGCAGATGGCTTGAAGCCAGAGAGACATGCTAATAGCGCTCTCCCAAAAATTGTGCATAGCCCATCTGTTAGCTCCCTGTGGGGGGGAGGGGGAGAAAATATGTGATTGGGATGGGGGTGGAATGCTGCCACCAGAATCATCAGAGATGATTCTACCTGTGGATCTTAGGTCCCACTCCACTCTTGGAAAAGCATGAAGCTGTCCATCCTCTGGATCCACACGCCAGCCAGCACTCATGAGCCAAGCCATGCGCCTGAGCCTCATGCTCAAGACGGTGAAGTGCCGCACAGACTCCTAACTGGTGGCTCAGGGTGCTTCGGCTTAGGATCATTTCTCTTTGTGCTTGTGTGATGGCAATACGCATCCAAGAGAAACCACACTGTGAATGTTGATCTTTCCCCGGGGGAACCATGTGTGTGACACAGTGCTCCCTCTAGGTGCCCAGCAGCCACAGGGGGCTGTGGCTCGCAGTCAACCACACAGTCGGAAAGGTGTCTCCACAGTGTACCGGGCTGCTAAGCTAGGCTGTTCGGCAGGTTAGAGCCTGCAATAGCTTAGGTTTACTGTAGGTTTCTTAGGTTATAAACCCCTCATCAAAGAGCCGGTGTATGTGCGTGTTAGAAGAGAAGTGGAAAGGAGGATGGTGGCATGACTGGGTAGAACCTGAGGGCTCGTGCTTACGCACTAAAATAGGCATTAGAATCAGCAGGGTCACTGAAAGGTTTCTGGGTAAGTAACCACTTGTGAAGCCGAGATCCTTTTTCTTTATAACAAATATCTGCAGTGTTGTATGAACTCATTATGTTCCTACAGCTTTTTTAATCAGTATAATGTCATACTGATAGTATGGAATTGAAATGAGAAGTGATTTATAATAAAGGTGTTATATTTCAATAAAGAAATACTTAGGCATGACCATACTGCAGGACATAATGAGTAACGAGATGATTGTACCTGATAACAGAGTCACCGGGAAAAGCTGCTGCTAAAAATACAGCTTGAGACCAGCCACTACGAGAAGCGTTTCTGTCTGGGGCCACCGTTTTCCAAAAACCTCTTGAACGTACCATATGAAGCGAAATCCATTCTTCCTTGAGTGTGCATACTTGTTCCATGTGTGGGGAAACCACAGGTGTTGACTCAGTGCAAAGACACGAAATTTCTGAGCCATTCGGTCCCATCTAGGCTTACCCGTTCATTAGGAGGCAAGACCACTCATTGGCCTGTGCTTTGGTCTCACAAATTATAGATGTCTGCTGCAAATGCTTGCGGCCCCTAAATAGCATGAGAGTCCAGGCTTCCCTGCAGTTTCCATAACAACTAAAACAGCCACAAATTTCCTCTTCACCCCTAGGGAGCAATGGCACTCCCTGTGAGAATAATTTAGTTGTGTCAAAGCATATCGGAAAGCAAGAGGAACAAGTGGCTCAGTTGTCACTTAGTGCATTGGTAGGTAAAGTCACTGCATTAGCAGGTGAACTCTGAAGCAGCATGAACAAATCTGGAAGTTTGAACAGTGCCCAGTACAACTGGACTTCTACAAAGGGTGGTGTCTGTGTCATTGTTTAAAAGCTTTTAACACTGGCTTGATTCACCAGCAAGGAGTCCTTGTGCCCTGTCTAAAGCTTCCTCCTGGGGCAGCGTGACATGGGGGTAGAGAAATGACCAGACTTGGAATGTTGGCTCGACTCTGCATCAGCTTGTTGAGAGGTAGTTGAATACGAGACTAGAACAAGGTACTTCTGTACATGATCACCATGGGCTCACCAGAGTCGCTGATATGAACTATGTTATCATTGCCACAGCACCTATCAGTCATCCTTTTGGGTGTTGCTAGGATACCCTGAATCCTCTCCTACTTTGTTCTGATCTCACCACACTGCACATCTTTTATTCCGGCAGCCATCGGAGTGCTTCTTTGGGCAAAACTGGCTTACCCTAATGTCTCTTAGGCTAAGGTGTCCATGTATGTGACCACTATGTCCCTGAGATGTATGAGGACCACTGAAAGCCTGTAAAAATTTCCAGTGGACCCACAGTATGCTGACACACTTCATGGTAGGCCAGTAACTGTGAGAGACCAGAAACGGGGGTTGGTCATCTGGACAAGGGCATGTAACACAAGGAAGAAAATTCTGACCAGAGATAGAGTCACCCTACTTTGGATCCTGACCCTACCTTATGCAAGCTGTGTGAGCCTAAGCAAATTTACCTTCCCTCTTTGAGCACTGTTTTCCTCATCCCTGCAAATGACATAATGGCATCTGAGATGCAGGAATTTTGGGAAGATGTGTAACACTGGACCACGCAAGCTGTACAGATTTAAGGAATGGAAACCATTGCTTTGGATGGTGTTATTTTAACAAATAGCATTTCTCTTCCCATTACAATATTGGTGTCTCACCTGAAAAGAATCACTGGGCAAATAGTTATTGTGATGATATATGTGAGAACCTCCCTTTGTGATTTTGCAATATCAAACTGCCATGGCATGAGGTATCCTCATTCGAGTAATAACCTCCAGTTCTTATTTTCTAAACTTGTGAAAGTAATAATACAGAAATAATGTATCATAATTCCCATCCCCACAGTTCCATGCTGTCTGTTATATAGTAAGGAAGACGTCATTTACTTTCAACAGCTTTTATCATGTTATGGGAGTAGCTAACATGTACTGTATAGTCTGTCTGGTAGGGGAGTCCATACCTTGAATATAGAATTACATTAGCATTCAGATCATCCCCGCTGAAATAGAAGAGAATGTGTGCCCATTTTATAGACAAGGGCCTGGAGCACCGAGGAAGTTAAAGAGTGCTCCCAAATGACACCGTGAGAAAGCAAAGGTCTGGCTTTTCACCTGTGCTCTAACAGTCAGAGTTTCCCTTTGCATACTGCCTCAGTGCCTGGCTATACAGCAGAGACTGTCAGATAGCTTCAGCAATTGAGAATGTTCTTAGTTCATCAAGCAGAGGTAGAGTGAAAATCTAGGCAAGGCTGCCTTCCAGTCTCCTGCCCCATTCTCGAAGACACTCTGGCTCCTGAACTATGAGATTTGGGGAAGTAAAGCAATGGTAAAGATGCTGTTATGCCTGAAGTCAAGCCCTGTGTCACTCCCTCTCTCCCATGAGAGGTCTGCCTAGCCCTCCTCCAGAAGGTCAACATCTCATGGTCAAGGGCTTTTGCTTTTCTCCTGTGACTATGCCAAGTCCTAGCACAGTCTGGTACTCCATAAATGGGCAGTATGACTCTGTCAATCACTCAAATCCATAGATACTTCTTCAGCATGCCTGACCCTTGCCTTCTCCCATTCCAGGTTATGTCGCTATGGGCGCCGTCCTCCCATCCTTCTGGGGCCAGCAGCCCCTTGTTCAACAGCAGATTGCCATGGGTGCTCAGCCGCCCGTCGCTCAGGTGATGCCAGGAGCTCAGCCCATCGCATGGGGCCAGCCAGGTCTCTTTCCTGCCACCCAGCAACCCTGGCCAACTGTGGCCGGGCAGTTCCCGCCAGCCGCCTTCATGCCCACACAAACTGTTATGCCTTTACCAGCTGCCATGTTCCAAGGTCCCCTCACCCCCCTTGCAACTGTCCCAGGCACGAATGACTCTGCCAGGTCAAGTCCACAGAGTGACAAACCCAGGCAGAAAATGGGGAAGGAAATGTTTAAGGATTTCCAGATGGCTCAGCCTCCGCCTGTGCCCTCCCGCAAGCCTGACCAGCCCTCCCTGACCTGTACCTCAGAGGCCTTCTCCAGTTACTTCAACAAAGTCGGGGTGGCGCAGGATACAGATGACTGTGATGACTTTGACATCTCCCAATTGAATTTGACCCCTGTGACTTCTACCACACCGTCCACCAACTCACGTGAGTGTCCTTTTCACTGGGGTCTGAGACCTGATGACAGTAGTGCCTGTTTCTAGTAACGAAGTACTGGGATCAGAAACTATCTCACTTGCATCACAAGCTTGTTGGTATCTCTTGATAACGGTCCCCATCGCACTAACTCAGCTACCAGCTGTAACACATATTCAGGGCCCTTACCCTCTGGGCCTCCTTTTACTTAACATTGATACCGAGTTGCACTAGATCTGTGTGACAGATAATGGGGATAATGTTCACGGACTGGCATTTGTCCACAACGTCAACCTGCCTCTTAGGACTTTGTTAAGATGCTCGTTTGTGTTTATGTATGTGTTGGCTTACGGCACCCAAATTTTAGCATGGCGTATTAAAATAAGATATTTTTTAAAGTAGAAACAAGGGGCCAGAAGGTGAGGGTGCTTGCCACTAAGCCTGAAGACCTGAGTTCAATCTCCAGAACCTGTATGGTAGGAGATCACTGACTTCTAGAAGTTATTTTCTGACCTATACATGCATACACACACGCACGCACGCGCGCACACACACGCGTAATCAATCAATAAGTAAAATTGTTTTACCTCCATGGGCCTCTTGTTTCTTAACTCTCCAAAGCCAATTATTTAAAAGCATTTCAACATGGACGGAACTTCCTCATTGTGATCTTGGTCAGTGGGTTTTTTTGTTTGGTTGGTTTTTGTTTTTGTTTTTGAGGCTTCTGGATCAGGTGCTTTGGTGCTGGCTCTATGGTGACAAGCCGTGTCTTAGGACAAAGCAAGTCACTGCTCTGAGCGGCTGGACCACTTGTAGGGCCACCAGCTTCCTCCTGGCCTCAGCATTTGGGGCCTCTGTTTCCACTTGCTTTCCCAGTACAAACACCAAAAATAAGATGCCTGCTGCTGCCGAGTCGGAATCCAGACACACTTGAGCATGCGTGTGCTTGTCAGACACAATCGGAAAAAAAATGTTCCAGTGACTCAGCCTATGCTCTGACAATTGATAAGGGAGAAAAAGGCTCATGGTACAATGACTTTGGCGTTTTCATTACTGTCACCAGTGATACGGATCACTGGATGGCCAATACCATGAGTTGTCAAAAAAAAAGAAAAGAAAGAAAAAAGAAATCTAATGTGAATACAATTAAATTGTGTCATTCAGCCAGGTTCAGAATGCTGTTCTGAAAATGAAGGCTTGCACTCAGGCCATGGGAGCCACATAGGCAAGGCATTTCTATTAATTCTAATCCACAGGCTTCAATGAAGAATAATGAATAAAATATGAAATGCTAGAGAAATAACAGTCATGCATAAATGAACAAGAGACTTAAAAAAAAATAACGCATGTCTCATTTTCATTGACCCATGGGCCGCCTACAAACATGGAAGTTTTTTGAGGGCAGAGACTATCTTGTCACCATCTACACACTCCTCAGAATGCTAGCAGGGCGCCTGGCACATGCATACGTTAGGAAAGGTTGTACTAGTCGAAAGAGGCTGCGCGAAAGGCCAGTTCTCCACAGCCGTGTTTGAGAGCGGGGATTTGCCAGTACGTCACTGCTGACCTCTGAGGACAGGTGATTCTTTTGCAGGAGGCTGTCACATGTGTAAGGCGTAAGGTGCTCACTTACAGCACCCTGACATCCGCCCACCATATGTAAACAGCGTCTTCATCCTTTCCTATCAGTCCTGACTGCCAGTACTAACTGCAAGACATTGCCAAATGTCCCCAGGGGCGGGGGGCGGGGGGGATGACCCTCCCACCCACCTTGAGAACACATGGGCTTGGAATACTCAACTGCTCTGAAAAACCTTTCTTTACAGCTAAGACGCTTGCATACACACACTCTAGCTGTGTGAGCAGTATGCTGGTAGGACTCATCGCTCAGCCTGGGTTCTCAGCATTGTATAAGCAATAAACCACTCCAAGCACAATTCAGAACCCAATTAAGCTAATATTACCCACTCAGCAAGGGATCCTTATACAGCATTAAGCCTAGTGTAGCTAGTTTGCTCTGAAACCAACACGCACAACAGCAAGGAATACATCATCTTTTATTTTAAAGCAAATGAGTCGAGTAGGTTTTCGAGGTCTCTTCCCTGACAGGATTCCTTCAAAATGTGAGGGAGAGATTAGTTGCACAAAACAAAACAAAACAAAAATGTAAAGCACAAAAACAAAAACACCTCAGACAGAAAAGACTGAATCCTGTTAGGCACATCTGTGTCACACCCCACAGCTCATAGCCATGCTGATGTTATTTGTATCAGGAGCGTGATGAGGAGGAAGGGCATGATCACGGTCAGCTTCGTTCTATACTGCAAACGATAAAGGAGCTGAAAATCGTGTTCCTGGGGTAAAAGATCGACACTAACTTTTGCGACCATTCACGATCTTGATAAAATGCCAAATTTTTGTAAGCTCGGAAGCGTTGTGACAGGGAAGCCTTACCAGTGGCAGCACCATTGACCTACTCGATTAATCCGTACTTTGGGGACTAGCCGGTGACCGGAATTTTCTATGCTAAGTCATACAGTGTCATATATGTTAGAAACCTCAGGAACAAATAAGAGGGTCACGGCAGCAAATGCGTATTCTTTACGGCGAGCTTATCATTCCCTATCATCCCTCTCCCAACCCAGCCTGTGTTTGTCAAACACCGAGCCCACGCAAGAACACAAAGCCTTGTTTAGCAGTGGTCAGGAAGTTATTAGTCTCCAGTCTTCTCTGAAACTTAAGTAACCTCTATCTCAAAGGAGCTTTACAAGTCTGAGGGACGTTGCCCTTAAATTTCCCTATAGCGTCTGATCCACAAAAGCCATTGGAAAATGTGCCTTCTGATAGAAGAGCGTCAGCCATGCACAGTGCCTTACAGCTCGCTCGTGTGTCAGCAGCACTGTAGGAGCTGTTTGGAGCTCCTGTTACAGCCCTTCTCCTGCCTGTGCAGGCTGAGGGCCCGGCAGTCCTGAATAAACACGGGAGGAATTTAGATGCTCAGGTTTGACCTGAGATGGGGAAAGGGGAGCTTTGACTCAAGGATAAGGAGACCCCAGGCATCTGTGTGGGATAGAAATGGTTGTGGCTTATGGGAATACTTAACCACATTTCCTCTTTTTGCTATGGTCTCTGTGTAGCTCCAACCCCAGCCCCTAGGCAGAGCTCTCCATCCAAATCATCAGCATCCCATGCCAGTGATCCGACCACAGATGACATCTTCGAAGAAGGCTTTGAAAGTCCCAGCAAGAGTGAAGAACACGAGGCTGTAAGTGACCTGCCCGTAGCTCTTACTTTTCCTTAAAATTAAAATTTGCCCATAGAGTTTGAGGATGCCAACATAAAAGAGAATGCCAGTTCCGAGGTGAGGTTTGAAGGGCCACTGAGGGGACTTTCTTGCACGGCCAGGTGCATCAGCCGGAAACACTGGCCTCTTGTTAAGTTGTTAGGCACTCTCCCACCTGGGAGGTGGCATCCTCTGGCGGAAGTTCCAGCCTCCTGTGAAATAACTGGTTGCATATGCCGCATGAATATAAACTCGTAGTTGCCTTATTTTTCCGTTGTTGAAGAGAGGAAAAAAAAAAGTGTTATCTTCTTGTGTTCTAGCCTGATGGATCACAGGCCTCCTCCACCAGTGATCCATTTGGGGAGCCCAGTGGTGAGCCCAGTGGTGATAATATAAGTCCACAAGACGGTAGCTAGATAGCGCAGGTCTGGGTAGGTATCCGTCCTTTTTATCTCCTTCACCTGCAAGGTTTTCCCTCCTGCTTGCTTCTTACCACTGACGTCACACACCCCAGTGTCTGTGCTTCGTCTCCTTGCCTGTGCTCGGTTATAGTATCCATATCGCCTCCCGAGTCTCTGCTTGTTCCTAATGCTTGCACCGTCTTTCATGCCTGCTAGTATAGTGCCAATATTTATACCCTCTCTCCTTGCCTGAGCCATCTCACCAGTTACCAATGTTTGTACAATCTCTCTTCACCTCATTTCTGTTTTGCACTTTGCTTTTTCTCATGGATGAATGACCTATGACATACACCAAAAGGTAGGGTTGGAGGGAATGTGGCAAATAGTTTTACTAATTAATGATATATTCTAACATTCTTAGTTGGTGTTGGTGATAGAATGAATCCAGTCAATGCTAACTAAAGTGGGTTGAGTTTCTAAAAACATTGGCCCTCTGGGATAGACACATTGTTCTCTCTTTCTCTCTCTCTCCCCCTCTCTCACTCACTCGCTCTCACTCTCTCTCACACACACACACTCACTCTGTCTCTATGTCTATCTCTTTCTCATATATACACAGACACACACACTCAATAATTTCTCAGTGAAATGAAGTCCTGATGGTTTACTCTTTTAAACAAAATGTCACTGCATTTGCCTACATGCCACAGATAGAAAGAGGTCACCAATCAAACACACTGAGAAGCCCGACTATGAAGCAAAACCAAGCCATGCTTGAAATAAGATTGATCAAGATGTAAGGTCATAGTAGCCCTTCCCATTTATCCAGGAAGGCTTCTACACCTCCTTCGAGTGTGTCAGTGAAACTCGGGGCCCAAAGACATGTAACTGATCCTCTGATTTCTGCGCCTCTGCTGCCCGTGGTTCGCTGCCAAATCCCTTCAGATTCTAGCAGCAGCTGATCAGGGAGAGATGCATCCTTACACAGCTAGACGTGGCTTTTGAAACTCAACTTTCAATACATCTGATTTGATCCACGTAAAGAGGATCGGGTGACGCTCACCTTCTCAGGAGACAGTAGTATACCTTGTGCAGACGTGATCTCCAAGGCCAGCTTTGACAAATGTGTCGAATTTTCAGATAGTTTCCTGGTTTCCCATTAACATGTAAGACTACAAGGCCAAACTCAAACTTCTCAGTCCTGAGCAGCATCCCCATTGCCATTAAAATGGCCGATGGCTTTCACTGCTTTGCTCTGGGTCCTGTGGCTGTGGCAGAGTCACTCACACTCCGCACATAGGTCCTTTTGACAGTTACTGAAAGCTTAAACAGGGTGTTGAAAGTGCATTCTGTTGATAGATTTTAGGATCAAAGAATTTAGCACACTATATGTTTTGTTACATTTTATGTCAATAAAATGTAAAAAAAAAAAAAAAATAAAAAAAAAAAAGCACAAATGCCCATTTAAAAAGACAGTCTTTCATAGCCACACTGGGAACTGCTCTCTTAAAGGCACAGTTGATGCCCCAAGATTGAGAAAAGTTAGAGATTATAAGCAGATCCCTGGAGGTGACTCCCAGGGGGTTTTCATCTCATGTACATGGTGTACTTCAAACTTGCTTTTAACAATTTGATAAACAAACTCGAGGTGAGGAGATCCATCCATCACAGTAGAAGCAAACATCCTAGAATTGAAGTCCTTGTTGAAAGCCAAGACAGCTTACACTGCAGCAGGCCAACGCCTCAAACTCATCTTCATGAGCTTGTTCAGCTTGAGATGCTTCCACAAGCTGAATTGCTACTTGAGGTCTTTGATGCTCCATGTGGCTCCTCAGCCCACAGCTGGTTTGTAAATGGACATCGCGTGGTGTTGTGGCAAGAGATCCAGATTTGGAACTTGAGTTCAAATCTTAGCCTAATAAAAGTGGGGAATCGTGGGCAAGAGACACTCCTTTCTGAATGTTGATTGTTTTCCATTTGCTAGTAGAGGGTTATATTATCCTTGATTTTAACTAACATGCCCAAAGTCCAATCTGTGGCATAAAGTCGGGCCATGTGAATTCAGCTTAAAACTTAGTCTGGTTTGGGGTCGGTATTGTCAGAGTTCAGAACCCGGATCCATCCTTCTTGACTGTGTGACCTTGCTCAGGTTTCTAATTTTATTTTCTTCATTTGAAAAATAGGGATAAACATAATGCCCATCTTACGGGAGAATTGGGTGACGTCATACATAAGGTGATGTATATGGAGTTCTCAATACAGTCTGTGGCACGTGGAAGATCTGGCAGCCAGCCGCTGCCATTACCACCTCCGCCACCCTCGTCATCACTAGCAACCCACACCACCCCCACCACCCCCACCATCCACAGTCACTACCGTCACCACCGTTTCCATCATCGCCACTATCAGCAGTATTGCCATTACCACCACGACTGCCGCCTTCATCGTCACTGTATCACTAGCAACACATACCTAGCATCAAGGCTACTACTGTTGCTACAGTCGCTCCACCACTTTGACCCCACTGCTCCCACCTCGAACAGCACCTTCACCACCACCCTCCTCAGAACACCCACCAGCATGGCAACTACCGCCATCGCTATTGCCTTCGTCACCACCTTTATCACCGTAATCAATATGGTACAGGTTCAATATATGTTGGTGCTCTCTATATATGCTCAGATTTTATACATCTAGCCCCATGTTGAATAAGGTCAATGACTAGGAGGTTTTGCTTGATACTTTCTGTTTTTAGATAATTTTTCCGTATGCCCCATAATGGATTAAAACAGAGGGCGATTAAAACAGAGGGCGGAGGTAAGGCTTTTCCAGTATCCCTATGACAAATACTTGTCCCATAACCAGAGTGAGTTCCATTTAAGCTTGAGAGGCTACCTCTCAGATCCCCTCCCCCCAAAAAAAGCAATCTTGGGTTCATATGTAAATCACATTAAGACCCTCTCAGCTTTGAGGAGAGCTAGATTATAATCTTTGATGAAGCAGGAGTTCAGCCTGGCCATTTACAATTCCCTTTAAAAAGCTGTTCAGTGGAGTTAATGCCCGCCTTGCAGATAGGTTCCCTAAGGTGCTCACGGGGGAAACGCGTGTGAATCTTTGTGTCCCTTCATCAGTGTCAGAATACCACAAGCCAAATGTGATCTTTCTGTCTCCGTCCCCTTTGCCCATAGAGCCAACTGGAAATTTACTGACTGTAATTTCTTAGCGCTTTTGCAGACACTTGGAAAAGGATTCCATGCAGAGATAGTCATGTCCGTGGCTTTATTTTCCCCTCTGCTGTCATGCAGTTGGAAAGCAAAGTCCCTATCCTTCTTATCACTCATGCAGCTATCTCCAACTGTTTTTTATTAGAAATAGCCACCGAGTTCTGAGTAAGCAAGCATGACATCTGTTGATAAGTTAAAGCCATATAGCTCCAGAATAAGAGGGAAACAAACAGACTCAGTCCCCACCGGTGGAAGCTTTGGGGCCAATACCAAATGCTTCTGTTTTAGCAATAAAGGAAAATATCTTCAATTATTTCACTTTCTCCCCCCTACCTTTCCATCTGGGAGAATCATGTGTCTTTGAGAGAGTGAGTCAATAGGGGCAAAAAAAAATTAAAAAGAACCAAAATAATATTATAATGGCTGGTGTGGGAATGGCAGGTAATTTGTACTTCACTGATGTGTTGCTGGAGCAATTTTAAGGGCGAAATGTTAGCCTTTGAAGGGATGAAAGAAAAATGAAAACATTTATTTGGTTAAATGGCTAAGTAAATAAACTGCCTATCAGGCTTCCCCAGCTGTCAAGTCAAAGAGGCATCTGTAACAATGGGAACCGTTTGGTCTGCCTCCCTTTGTAACAATAGATACTGCCATAAACAATAAGTCGCTGTCACTTTTTTAATACTGATCTCTGTAGTGGGAACCCAAAGTATATAAAGTATTACCTGATAGATTCCTAGTGTTCAGGGAGAAAGAAAGATGAACTTCAAATGCTTTGGGAGGGTGAATGTTTGGATTGGGGGTTTCGTTTGTTTGCTTGCTTGCTTTTAATAAATGAAAGAGAAAACAGAGGCCCAGAGTCTGAATGCAGCTCAAAAGCAAAGTGGCCTTAGGCAAGCATGTCAGCCCTCACGTGGAGAAGGACCAGTTTTATGGCAGTGATCTGTCCAGGCTTTCCAGGGATCAACTGATGCAAGAATGAAAACACATGAGGGTTTGGGAAGATGGGTTAGTGGTGCTGTGCTTGGCATGATCCCCAGCACCCACACATAAAGCCAGGCATGGTGGCAAGCACCTGCAATCCTACTGCTAGGAAGTGAGGATGGAAGAAGGTTCCCGGGGCTGGACGGCGGCTACTAGCTCAGTCCCTGAAACCCAACTCTGAGTGCGACACCCATCTCAAACAATAAGATGGATGGCTCAGAAAGAACCACACCCGGGATTGATGTCTGAATTCCACACAGACTCGTACATACATGTACAGACATGCGCACGCATGCACACACACATGCATTGGAAGTAGTTTGGAAAAATCTTGACGTAAAATACAAGTTCTTGGTGTTATTATAACTCTTCCACATTGTTTTTGAATGGTGTAGCTTAGATTAGCTTAAACCTCACCTTCCTTCTGCCTCAGCCTCGCCTTCAAGGCTTACAATCACACACCACCCTTTTATTCCCTTTTAAAATAGAGCTGAACAACAGAACCTTAGAAATACTGTATTTGTGCATTCATTCAAATCTGCCTGTTTGGTGGGTGTACAGGTTAGAAGCAAGGCCTCACCTAAGCTTCTGAAGTGAACAGTTCCACTTCCTCAGACCTTCATGGAGTGACAGTCTTTGATATCCCCAGCTGGAAAACTGCAAAAGTGGTACAAAGTAGCAGGGTCTGGCTAAAGGCAGTGTCTGCTGGAATTTGGAAAGCCAGACCTGTTGCCAAGAGGTCTTCAGAAGATTATAGTGGCTGGAGATGAGACTGAAGGGGATGCAGAAGAGGAGATGAGCTAGGTTCTGAAATGCGCAGCTAAGCTGTGCCAGTTGCTGTTTTGTAGTGCACTGAGTAGCATGCTTGAGCAGGGAACAAATGGGACATACTTTGGGGCCACGTGAGAAGACAGTAAGGTTCAGGAAGGACCTCTGGCGGTCAAAGGTGATATCAGGGAAGGCATGAAGATCTCAACATGGCCTCCAGCCATTTGAGCGGTGGATGCAAGAATATGCTGCCCATGTAGACCAGAGGTCAGGAGACTGTATTCTATACGTTGTATGGACTCCCAGAACTACGTAGCTCCTCTGCAGTTGTGAACAGAAAGTAGAAAAGATGAGGTGTGGCCAGTGGAGGTGACTAGGTTACCTACTCCATGCGCTAAACCTGGCAGCTTCCAGCATCGACTAGTGGACTTCAGTTTGCTTCCTCATGACAGAGATCATACCCAGTATTTTTAGAATCACTCAAAGGAAGCGAGCAAGGTACCTCCCCCCTACCGCTTCTGAAATATATTTAAAGACTACAGATACCACTTAATTTGGATAGATGATGATGATGATGATGATGATTCCTGCTTCACAAAGTAGACAAGAAAGAAACAGAGGTACTTGGTAAAATTCTAGCCTTCCATGGGAATATGTGCTGGACTCAGTTGGACAGAGCAACTGAACAGCACTCCAGTGGGAGTGAGGAAGATGACTTGACCTCTGATCTTTGATTGTCTCATCTGCAGCACAGTTTACCACAGGTTCACGCAGCTATGACACCTTTGGGCCCTTTAATTTGCCCAAGTTCACTCAGCTATAACAAGGATGAACCAGGCTCTAAATAATGTTCCCCAACAGCTCCCCCCTTTCAGGCAAGCCTCATTCCCAAGAACAAGAAGACAGAATCCCTACCTTACTCCAACGTCTTTAGAAAATTAGACTTTCTGGTAGACTGGAAACAGCTTGAGATCACCACCATGAACTTGCCAGAGCCAGGTTAGAAGTCTCTGGGTCAAACGATTTCCTTAGCTCTCCTCCAGCTCTCAGAGTTTACGATTGTGTAACAGGGAAGGTAGAGTTATTGCCAAAATGTATAATGCATCATAGGGTCAGACTTCCGGATTATCTGCTGCGTGGGGTTTTCCACACCACTGCTCCCCTTCATTAGTGGGGATAATTGAGAGCTGACTGCGGCTGTTTCTACTGTTGCGATGGGCATTTGAAGCTAGATTCCGGCAAGCAAGAACTGTGTGACGATTTATCTCCACTGCAGAAAGTTAATGGCAGCACGGCCTTAATTACCCCGCCTGAGCCTGCTGTCATCGTCTTCTGGTTTTAGGCGTCATTCTCGGTTGGGTAAATTAGCTTCCAAAATTGGAATAGAGCAAACTTGTAGGGTGAGATCAAGGCAGCTTGACTTATTAGGGAAGATAGGGTTAGTGAGGAAGTCCACACAGCAAACCCTCAGGTGGACATTCAAGTGCTGGAAAGTGTTTCTTCCCTGTTTGATGTGCACATGTACACACACACACACACAGAGAGAGAGAGAGAGAGAACACAAAGTTTCTGTCTAGTCTAACAGCAGTTACTGGTAGTAGTTCAGATATTGGAGGAAATGAAATAGTACTGCTGCAGATTCTACCAAATTCAACCTTAGGAGAAAAAAGCCAAATTGAAGTATGTTGAAGACAGATCAAAGATATTGCAAATTGTTTCATGGCTAGCGCACCAGACACCTGCCTCTTTTGTGAGGACCTACTATGTCACATTTCTATGTCTAAAAGTCAGGGGAAGTGGCAGTTGGCACTCAGTAGGGATGGGGAGAAGGTGGGGCCCTTCCAGTAGTCAGGCATTTGACCAGATTGCATTTACATAGTTAATCTGTTTCCATGGGTGGAGCGTAGAGGTGGCGGCACAAACTGTTCTGCTGTATTACAGAGCAGGGCGGCTAGAGGGCCGATGTTCCTTCTCCCAAGAGCGTGTCAGAGCCATAAGCCAGTCTTGGAGGAGAATGTGCCAAGTCCTGGGAGTGAAGTTCTGGTTTTGACTCTGGCATGGTTACTCACGTGACCCTGTGAACATTCAGGGTCACCCGGTGCTGTTCTCCGGATCCCTCGTCTATAAAAAGATGGGTCCAACATTATCTTGTAGGCCATCCCCAGTATAAAACATGAAGCAAACAATGTGCTACATCACTGTGACTCGGAGACAGTACAACCTCTCTCAACCCAAGTTTTTGGTCGTTTTGTTTTTACTCTTTGAGAACTTTGCACACAAATAATGATGTGTTTTGGTCAAGTTCACACCTCCCGTATTTGCTCCAGTCCATTTCCTCTCCCATCTACCTCACCATTATCCCCTCCCAACTTCATGTACTTTTTTTTTTTTTTTAACCTATCGAGTCCACTCAGCAATGCCAATATGTGCCTGGATGTAGGAGCATCTATTGGAGCTTGGACCATCTCTCAGGGCTTGAAGAGCACTGCCTCTTTCTCTCAGCAGCCATCACTTGCTAATAGCTCCTCGGCTAGGGGGTGAGACTTGATACCCACCTCCCTGCTCCATGCTGGTATTTTGTCTGGCTTGAGCTTGCGCAAGTCTCGTGTCTGCCGCCACAACCAGTGTGAGTCCATCCGTGCAACTGCCTGTCGTGTCCTGAAAATACTGCTTCATTGTAGCCACCCACCACCTCTGGCTCTTAGATCATTCTGCACCCCTCCCCTTCTGAGATGATCCCTGAGCTTTGAGAGGGAAAGGCTGTGATGTAGAGACCCCAATGGAGAGCCGAGCAATTCCACAGTCTCTTATTCTCTGCACGTGAACTTCAGTCTTTTGTCTCCAAAATGAGGATGGAGGGAGTAAGAGCTGCTTCCAGGGCTGTTAGGTAGATGAAGGTAAGACCTGGAGGTGGCTTCACAAACTAACTGTTCTGCGTATAGGGGGACTTCCCTCTCTCCTCCTCTTTCCCCTTTCCTCCCTTTCCTCTTGTACTATACTAGATACTGTCTGTGAGCTATCGCTACTTCTCTCAAGAACTTTGTGGGATTAAACAATACTATTCCCATGGCATGGCTGGAGAAACTGAGGCTCAGAAAGGAGAAATATCTCGCCTGTGACATGGAACTTGCTCTAGTATACCATGCTAATCACCCCTAGGGGAATCAGCTTCAAAAGCAAGGGTGGAACCCCCTCGGGGAATTTGAGGCAGTTGCTCAGTCTGGAAATTGTGCCACACAGCATAAGTTTGACCCCCAGCACCCACATAAAGCCTCAGGCATGGTGGCACACACTTGTTACCTCATAGCTAGGGAGGCAGAGACAGGTAGATCCCTGAGGCCACCTGGCCATCAGTCTGGTCCACTGGATGAGTTCCAGGCCAAGGAGACACCCTGTCTCAACAACAAGGTGTGTCATACCTGCAGAGTGACACTAAAGGTTGACTCTGGACCTCCACAACATGCACACTTATGCACACGTATGCACTCTACAACAAAAACAACAACACACACACACACCAAAATCTGGATATGTTCTTAGGGGAGTTAAAATTGTTGCCAAAATAATGAACACCATGATAAGACAATGAAAACAAAACAAAACAAAATGTAAGGTCATTCATCATCACCCGTCACCTTTCTGTTTTCACTTTCAAGCTTTCCTTCCTACACACACCTGGTGCAAGCAAGGCAGGCCTCACTGATGTGCTTCTGTCCACAGGAGCCAGAGCCTCTCTATGCGCAGATCAACAGACCTAAGAAATAGCATCAATGAGAGCTCATGGTGGGTGCTTCAAGACTGGCATGGGAATCAGCAGTGCAACAGGCTCTCTTGTACTCTCAGCTCACCTCATCCCACAGAGAAACTCACAGTCGCCCAGTGAAACTGTCCGAAGAGGGAACAAAGTGTTTTTTGGCAACCAATGGCAGATACCTATGGCAGCACAAACAAACAAACAAAAAAAAAACCTAAAACACAACAACATCCCACAAAAATATATTTAAGAAAACAGAATCCAACATTAATCACCAGTCAAGCCAATGCTTAACCAACAAATCCGTTGATCCTCTCGGCTGGGTCTAAGATATTCCTGGATTTGAAACCATTCTTGTGCTTTCATTTCGCTCCCAGTTGACCATTGTCAAGACCGTGGACTTGGAGTGGCAGGCATCAGAGAATTGGAACGAGGTTGGCACTAACTGATTTTAGGCCAAAGCAAGGGATCCTTTGTGACCACAGTGTCATCGCCCACATGCCCTCTGGCTGTGGCGATGTGTGTGGCACCTCGCCACAGGGCCTGGTCTGCCATCCTGTTTCCCTTGTCTTCTCTTTGTCACTTGTGAGAATTAATGAGTGTACAAATTTTTGTATTGCTTTTGACTTTTTTTTTAGAAATGGGTGAAGTCTAAATGGGGGAGGGGAAAAGCCTCTTATGACGTTAACTTGAGATCACAAGACAAATAAGTGATTGGTTATTCATTATGATCAAGAATGTTGCCAAAACAACTCTTTAGTTATCCTGCATCCTGGTGAAGAAAGACAGCTTTTGGACAGACCTTCATTCTGGGGTTAGTAAAGAACATCAAATCTCATTGATAAGAAAGGTGGAAAATGCATCCAGTTTCCTCAGAAGCTCTGAACTCTTGAGTACAATAAAATAATGTCTTTATTTTCTGATACTTCGCTGCTGTGATACTATGCAGACAAGTGTCTTCTCCATGCGCCATTTTCAAAGAAAAGTCATTTGCCAAATAATTCTGGTACAATTCTAGTAATGTGGTTTTGAATCTTAGGAACCAACTTTCTAATGGTAACATAAATATTCAATATAACAAACTGATTCTGTGGTCAAATGGTTCATCTCTATCTCTTTTTATACACCAGAAAATTCAAATGGGATTTTTTTTTTCTAACTTGAAAAGGAAAACTTTACCATTAAACTCTTTAACTATTTAAGGGAAATGGCTTTAAGGAGTTCTAATGAAAAAAAAATTGTCAATTTTTTTTTGTAAATATGTCAATGAAGATGCTTTTTAATAATGCCATTACACTGTAGAGAAGATAGCAGATGGAGTGTAAGGTGCAAGGAACATGACGGATGGGGTTCACGTTCCAGATGTTTTTCTGGGACAACTGGTAGGAAGCTAGAGTTCGGAAACAGGCAGGAGTCCTGGGCCAATCAGCAGCTCGTAAACAGGAGGAGGTGGTGCTTTGTAGCCAGCTTTTCCATAGGCCAATGGAAGAGAAAGGACATGTTTGGAAGGTTTGGCCTTCAGATTTGGGAAATCGCTCACCTCTCCTCTCCCACTTACTCTCCCATCAGTCACTGGACTGATTGTACATGAAATAAAAGGATTTTACTTCCTGATTTTACACACATGGGGCAAAGGTCTAGTGTTCAGTTCGTATGTTTAGCACACAACTTTCATAAAGAATCTATATATTTTTACCCTATAGAGAATTGTTATACAGGTCAAGTGTGTTTTCCTGGCGCTCCTATGCAGTTACATGTTGGATGTAATGGTTTAACATGAAAGGAAACCCTCAAGAGAGGCGTAATAGGATCTGGAAGTAATTACTCTTATTAAATTTCAAATTTTGAGAAGTCAAATTTACCTTGAAATGATTGATTGAAATTGGCTTCGGCTTCTTATCAATAGGAACTAAATGATTTTAAAGATGATTTTAAAGTGACTCCACACAAAACTCACACTACAATGTCAAACTGATTACTTTTTAGACTTTACCCTGGAATACAATTTTCCCAAACAGATAAGTGAACCGTGTATCCATTAGAAAATACGTGTAGATGCTACCCTACTGTGGAAGGTCCTAAGAACTAGAGAAACAAGAAGGGCTGTCCGCTGCCCTCTGAAGCCGCTACCTGTCAGTACAGGATTCCTTCCGAATCATCTGTCCATGCTGTGATGAGGTGACCCTCTTGTGCAAAGGAGAAATGGGAAGGTATTATGGCTGCGATTTTTCCTGAAAGCAGCCCTGTTTCTCTGAAGCTTTGGTAAGATAGGTGGCTGCTGCAGGAGTCAGCTTCGGCGGCTGCGGTGTCATGGTACCGAGGTTCTATGAGTGGTGCTGTCCTCTCCGTCACTGTGACCGAGTCTGCCCATCAGTGTCATACCCCCCATCTCATAGAAACTCCCATCCTTAGGGTTACTATGACAGGAAGTAAACTCTGGCTCACATTGCTGTTTCAGGGGTCCCATCTGCCATCCGTTCTGTCACCAGGTGGTGACAGCCCCGCTTATCGTCATCTTTCATTGAGCATGATGGAAATGTAACTGGCTCTGAACTTAAGGAAGATGCCCAGATGACCCATTAAAATGAGGGAGATAAAGTCAAGATTTTAAACTGACATCTATATTTTCATTGGCAGAATAGTGGGTTTTTGCTTTTGTTTTTGTTTTCCCAAACACCAGTTGGTACCCCTATCCCAGGAATATAGTGACATGTCCAAACAGGAGCTGAGGTACCAATACCCAAAGAGCATGGGGGATCTGCACAGTTCTTGTTAGATCAATAGAAAGATTCATGTGTACAACCCTTACTTCCTCATCTTCTATTAGCACTAAATTCGTCACTTTAAATTTTGAAACCAGGGAAATGCCACCTGTCGCTCTGTCTCATTCCCCATAGCTCTGCAATCTTTACATACCACAAGACTTTTTTGATAACTCATATTCATTCCAGCGTCTACGGAAACCCCATCGTATAATGTAGTGAGCACCTTCTTTTAAGAAAATGTTTACTCCGTGGGTTTGGTTCCTTTCAACTTCTGCGTTCTGACACATATTTTTTTAATAAAGATGAGAAAGAGAAAATGACTGTTGCAGTACGTTTCTAGACCTACTTTACCTCAGAGGACAGTTTGCTAACATATATGGACACATTATTTTTAACTTTATGTACAATGCATTCAACAGAACAGCAAACTTTTTAGAAATTTTCCATTAATTTCTGTAACACGCCATGTAAAACGGTTACAAATAAACATGTTTGAGAACAAACGGCTTAGCCTGGTTTTATTCCGCACATTTTCAGCAGCTCATCAGGCAAGGGATTAGAAGAGGAGTTGGTTTCTGGTGTCAGTTTCCATCTCACCAGAAAACGACCTCCGTTTCCCCAGCTCTGAGCTGCAAAGAGCAAGCTTCACTGTTGCTCTGCGGTCAGGCCTCCGGGGGGATGCTTTGACTTATTCATACTAAAATAGTTTGGAAAAGCAGCTAGAAAGACACAGGTGTGGTGTCTGGGCCACAGGTAATGTGGAGCTTCCTAAGGTAGGAAAGTGCTTCAGTGTGGACCGGAAAACTGTGGTTAATGATGCCTGCATGGGATTTCCCACCCTCGCTGAGAGTTGTTTGCTCTAAGGATCTTAAAAAAGGAAGCATTTTGTTTCTTTCATATATTTTACACATGTGCATTTTTAGGAAAGCTGAGTCTGGGGAAAGAGGGAAATTTATGTTGAAGAACCCAAAAGTTCATCTACATGTTAATGTGGTTGAGTAAGGGTGAGTCTCTGTGTGTGTCTGTGTGAGAGAGAGGGAGTGGGGGAGGGGGTTGTGTTTCTTTTTGTAACTGAATCAGTTTACATATCCAGTAATGAACCAGATTTCAATTAGGTGATTGAGATGCCATACCCCACTTCTGTTTAACAGTGGTTGTGTTAATGATTGTATAAACACAAACCTTCAATCTGGCCTTGTTACACTGAAGGGACTAAACAGATGTTATCACCAATTTTGAGAAAAGGAGAGAAATGGCTTCAATTCTAGCAGACAGAGAAACAGCTCCCATATGGGAAGAAACACTGAATCCTGCCTGTATGGAGGAATTCCAAGATGTTACAGCAGTTCCTTTGGTGATAACACCCAAGTATACTTCTGAGCCACTGGTATGTCCTACTGGGTTCTAGATGTTTTGTTGCCTTCATGACCACTCTAAACAATCTAGACTGGGTGCACGCCTTTTCCAAAGCCTTAGGCAAAGATGCTAAGACACAGGGAAATCTACTGCTGCATGGCTGAAAAATGACAGCCTGGAGAGTTTGAGTTCTGAGCCTCTCTGCTTAAAGCTGATTTCTATTTTAAAAATAGCTGCAGAGTTGCTGTTTTAATAACTTTTCCACAGGACTGTCGAAAAACACTGGCTTCTGTTTCTCACTTCTAGTTGAGCTTCGGTAGTAATTCTGATTTCTAAACTTCTCCGGGTTAAAGTAAAAACAAGAGGCCATTAATTGTGCCTATCTGAAGTTGTTAAGTAAACACTTGCTTCTTTAATTAACACCTTAGAAGAGGTGGGTGTGCAAAGGGTGGAGGATAAACCTTTCTGCCCAACTAGTTCAAATTGAGCTGAAACCAAGCCCTGGGGATTTACTTTGCCAGCCTAAGTGAATCTTTAAGAAGTGACAAATTAAAAGGTGCCCTATTTAACTGTGAGGCATATGCCAAAATAAATCAAGCAGACATACCTGCTTTCGTTCTCTGCTTGAGAGCAAACCCTTGTTGTTTTGACAGTGAATGTTTTTTGTTTTATCCGAGAGTGACAGTTGGAAAAACGCAGAGAATAAAAACAGGTTTCATTGAAATCAACCTTCGAAGCTTTCTAAGCCTTTAAAAGATGTTTAAATTCAAGAGAAATGTGAGCAATGATGCCTAAAAGATAGGGCGGACAAGGGGGATGGGAACGGATGGGAACATCCCCCAGCCATTCGGTGACCAGATCTCGGTGTCTGGGCTAAAGTGTGAGTGGTGGTCGCCACCGCCTGCTCCTGCTTTCTTCAGGCCACTTGTTTTCTTCCTGTCGTTTTCCAATCCGTAGCAAAGTTTGAAAATAAGCATTTTTCCATCTCACAAAACCTGAAACTACAACCTGAAACAGGTTGTAGAATAGCTCTGCATTGATGACAGAGAGCCAGACAGAGTGCCAAGGTGTCCTCTGTCCTCTCCTTGGAGGCCTCTTCCTACAGTGTCAAGCCACTGTGTCCTTCTGTAAAATGCCTACAGTCCTTCTGTATTGAGTTCCAAGTTGTATCTACTATATTAGAAATACCACAGCACACATTATTCTGTCTGATTTGGTACAGAAATTGGTTTTTAAGTATAATTCTTGTAGTTATTTTAAAACAAAGGTAGAAATCCAGTTTTATTCCTGGGAACAGTAAGAGCTCTAACCCAGTCCAATGAATATTTAATCCCAAAACAAAACCCTCACATGCTCTTTATCTTCCAAGGTACAGAGATCTGATGAGTAGACTTTTTGAACAGGCTTCCTGGCTCATTCTCTGCTGAAGAATATTAATGACTGCCAAGCGGAAAATGTCTAAATGGTCTTGTGAGATGGCAGCCTCTGGTGACTTGGATCTTTAATCTTCTGAACAACCTCTTGCCACTTCTGTCATCCAGTGTGAGTGGAGAACCGGCTGCATGGTGAGAGGTAGAATAAGCAGGCATATTGTCAAGAGTAAAACGTCAAACCATCTCTCTTTGCACTATGCTGCTAACAGCTCCACCGTACCTAGCCTTTGGGGTGGGTGGTGGGAATGCCGATATCTTTCTCATCTCAGATAATGGCATCACCACTCAAGTAGGAGCTGAGAGCCATGAGCTCAAGGGTCTAGGACAGTGGTTCTCAACCTTGCTAATGCTGCAGCCCTTTAATGCAGTTCCTCATGCTGTGGTTCCCCCAACTCTAAAATGATTTTATTGCTACTTCATAACTTGAATTTTGCTACTGTTATAAACCATAATGTAAACACATGATATGCAGGATCCCAGAGGGGTCGTGACTCACAGGTTGAGAACCGCTCCTGTAGGAAGTTGGTAAGTGACTGAAAGGTGTTTCGTCTGTCTTGTGCCCTTTTGGACCTTGGTGGAAAGAATGAGAAGGTATCCAAGTGTCCCACAGCTGTGTGTTTTGTTTGTTTGTTTGTTTGTTTGTTTGTTTTCCTATCAGGATAGAATACAAGGTAGCTTAGACTAAATAAAGTGAGATTTGGTATTTAACCTGTGCTCAGAGGATACAAGTCAAGGAGATAGCTAGATACTAGTTTGCTATTTTCTTATTGGACAGCAAGACTATGCCAAACCTGGGGAACAGTGTGTCTGAGCAAGCTATCACCCTCTACTTGTCATGTGTCTATTTTCTCGTATATGTGGAGGACATTGTTGCTACTGGTGAGTCCAAGAGACTTGTGCTCACATAGTGGGGTCTGAACCCAGAAAGTCTTGCTTTAGATTCTGCCTCTTTGGTCTACCAAGTTGCTCAACCTCAGACAAGTCGCTTAAGCTCTCTAGAATCCACATGCAAACTCGAGGGCAGTTATGTGAAATCAGTTCGGTAATTCCACACTGCAGTCACGCTCAATGCACACTGCCTTTCGTGTGCTCAAAGAAAAGGTATAAGCTGTGGTGTGCATTTGTATTTAATTCTTTCACTTTACACTTCAGGTCCCCTTTCACACCCATTATCTTAGCACAGTAGCTCTGAAAACATGCAGAATACGGAACCCTACCCTTCTTTTTATCAAAGAAAAATGAAGTATAGACATAAATCTTTGAAATTTTTTTTTTTTACTACCAAAATGTGTCAGGGATTTATTCATTTAACAAAGACTCATCAAGTGTAAGCTGTATGCCAGCTCCTGCGATGAGCACAAGAGATTTAATAACTTAAAAACAAATGCATGTGTGACTGTCCCAGCTTCAAGCAGTTCAGAGCCTGGTGAGTTAGAGAAATAAACCATTGTATGATTGCTTCTGCAATGCGAATGGTTGAGCTGGATGCTTGGAGATGAAGAGTTGAGCAGGAAATGATCAATGACAGTGGGTAGAAGAGCATCAGCAGAGATGGCAGGGCTGGTGGGCATGGAGTGACGAGAGTAGCTAAAGGTGAAGCCAAGGAATGAAGCCCTGCTTGTGCTATTGAATAACACAGAAAGTTTCTCGATTCATATTTCAAAGCCAGGACAGCAAAACATCAAAAGAGTGGTACAAATTACAGCCTCCTCATCTGACAGTTATCAGAAATGTCTAAATTAAATTCAAACCAAACACAGATGTAAACCATGTCTAAATGATGTTGATTCGTGGAATGCAATTAATAAGTCCAGAGAAGCTGGACTGTCAAAGATGGGTGATAAATTCATTAACCTCTTCAAGGAAAAGATAGTCAGGCCTGGTGAGTGGCATGCCTGGCATGCCTATAACCCCTAGATCTCAGGAGGATTGTATGTTCAGGGTCAGCCTGGGTTCCAGAGTGACGTAAGTAACTTCATGAGATCTTGTTTAGCCTTACCAAAAAGAGGGCAGGGGTGGGGCTATTGGTCAGAGGAAGAGGGCTTTTCTGCTTGTCTATCGTGTGCAAGGCCCTGAGTTAAATCCTGGGGGTGAGGTAAAAGAGGGAGAAGTATTAGAAAGTAGAATTATAGTAAAATTCCTTTAGCACACTGTCACAGATAGAGCTACTATTGCTGTGATGAAACAGTCAAAAGCAAGTCAGGGAGGAAACAGTCTACTTGGCTTATACTTCTGCATCATAGTCCATCAGTCCATCATTGAAGGAAGTCAGGGCAGGAACACCAACAGGAGGAACCTGGAGGCAGGAGCTGATGCAGAGGCAGTGGAGGAATGCCGCTTGCTGCCTTGTTCTACCGGCTTTGTTTTTGATGACCAGCCCAGGGTATACCTGCACACAGTGAGCTGGGTCCTCCCCCATCAATCACTAATTATGAAAATGACCTAAAGGCTTACCTACAGCTTCGTTTTATAAAGTATTTTCTTAAGTGAGGTTCCCTGCTCTCAGATGACCTTAGTTTGTGTCAAGTTGACTTAAGACTTGCCAACACACAATAAAATAATAGTTACCTCAAACCAATAGCTACTATGGAAAAACCCTCCAATGGACCATAAGGGTCCCCATTGAAATTAGAAGTCAAATGTGGGCATGGTAGCATATAACTTTAATCCAAGCACTTGGGTTGCAGAGGCAGGTGGACCTCTGTGAGTTCCAG